GATACAACATTTTTATGTTCAACTTCACTTTACCGCAGTCTGTCATTCTTCTAGCTTGAATGCTTGGGATTAAAATTTTAGCAAATTCCCCTATATCTGAAAAAAGAAAGTATTTGGTAGGCCAAGCAATCTCAATGTATTAAATTTGGATGGATAAGCCAATGCAATTTTCTGAAATAATTTGGGTTAAAATTTCCAAGCAAAGAAAGATATTGACAATGGTAACGTTTATTGCAATGGCGATAAATTTAAGTCTATTATTAAGGTGAGATTTTCAGATGTTGTAACAACGAAACTTAGTAGAGGTTGGCTTTTATTTGGCTAAATTTGTTGTTTTTTAAGTTTCTATCTTTCTTTTTATGTTACCACTAGAGGACACAGATTAATCTGACTTTAATCATTAAATAATCTGATAATATCAGCATATGTCATCGATTGGTCTTGATGAAATCTTATATGATGGGATTAAAGTGCAATTGAGAAGATATCATCACTCCATACATTTTTAAAATTAAAAAAACAAAAAAACTTTTGATTAAAACAAATCATATGTAGTTAAACTTCATTTTCATACATGGAACTATAAGGAAATGTCAGTTTATAATTTAAAAATGAGTTTTGAAGCTATAATTACAATAAAAACCAAAAATAATAAAATTATGAAACCCTATAATTAAACTCATACACATTTAACAATTCCTTTGTGTATCATAAATTAAAAGTTGTTTTGTACCCTTAACACATCTTAACACGACAAACTACTAGAAAAGCAAAAGTATGTGATAATAAATATATAAACATTGATTTAACTTATTTAAATACCTTTAGGACTGTAGTCTCCAGGAGCTGTAATATTTAAAAAAAATATATATGTAGTTGACAAGATCATCAGATATCCATCACTTTTCTTTTAGCCTCGTAAGGACGTCAATCTAATCCTATAGTAACTCTCAGACAAATTTAACTGTTAATGATAGTAATTGTTGGAAGAACAAATCCCAAATACTGGGCAACTTAATAAATGACTTATCAAGAATAATTTGAACCCTTCTAATTTATACACTAAACAAGAAGACTTCATGTAAATGGTTTGTAAAACTTCCTAAAAAAATTACTTGTTTACAATAATGTTAAACCCCTAGTCTTACTTAATAGGTTCATTGGCTTCGTTGTCTAGGGGTTTAATTATATACACTTCACAACTATAATTCGTATATTAAATATCTTTAATAATGAACTAATTCTTCAACTGCCATTACTGTACTCAAAGAACAACACTACACAATGATCTACGTCACATCCCCTTTCCCGCAATGCGTCACAAAATATTCAAACATTTAATTACAACATCTACCCAAATATTCTCTAAACAACACGCAATCACACAATACATTCAAGTGCTTAACAGATTAAAAAAAATTAAATGTTCAGAAAATAGCTTTCATCAAAGTGTCTTAAAAAAAAGTAATAACAGAAGTTTAAAATAATTTAGATTACAATTGTTTACAAATAAAGCATTTGATTAATAAACTTTACCATGTTGGCCTATTTTTTTTAAAAATCTTTACAAGTAAATCACTTTAATAATGTTGTATAGCTAGCGTTTTAGAAATAGAACAGACATTTTTTTTTTCAAAAAGTACCCACACTTCCAGGCATGACAATAAATTAAATCAACAAAATAACACATTTTAATTTTTCCAGAACTTTTTTTGAGTAATTATCTCATTACCTGGAAGTGTAGGTTCTTTATTAAAGAAAAATACCTGAACTTCCAGGCATGGAAATAATTAAAATAGTTCCGGAATAACAAAAAAAAGAAAGAAAAAAAAAACAGAAAAGAAAAAAAGACAACTTTTGTTATTTCAGAACTATTTTAAATTATTTTCATGCCTGAAAGAGTTGGTTATTTTTTTATTATTTTTTTTTTAAACAATAAAGAACCTGAACTTCATGGCATTGAAATAATTAAAATAGTTCTAGAATAAAAACGTTTTCGACAGTAAAAACTCTTAATTCCTAAAATAACGTTTTAAAAAAAAAAAAAAATAAATACATTATTGGATGGATAGGACTTGTTTTATTCAAAGCCATCACATTCTCCGCCATTTCCAATGAATTGAAAATAAAATTAAAATAACAGTAGACGTTAACTGAGTTCCGCACTTACCAGCAATGTAGCCTGGATTCGACAAAACTATAAAAAAAAATGATTTGTAAAAGAACACTTTTAGCTTCAAGTATTATTATGTTTAAAAAAAATTATTATAATTTGTTTGTCTGATAATGTCTGTTTCTGGGGGAATAGGTTTCAATTTAAAAAATTCAAACTTTTGACAGAAAGAAGTACGAGCAGAAGGACTTGCTGTCTTTAACGAGGTCAGATCTTTATATTTTGAAAAATGTCATTGAAATTAACTTTTTCCATTTTTCAGGCAAGTTATATATTAGCAAAAAAAAAAAAAAGTCTGATTTTAAAAAAAATTAATATTTTTTTCTTATTTTAACTGAATTATTTATTTGAAAAATGTGTTATTTTGTTGGTCTTATTAAATAATAAGTTAACACTACGTTTGAAGTGCAGATCATTGTCTCTGCAACTATTCTGCAAGGAATAAATCCATCGTGCAGTTGATTAGAACACAACCTTTGCAGCAGAGGCTCACAAAACTTCGCCACTTACAAACATACAACAGAACTCCCGTGGTGAGAACCAGTAGGACTATTACAGTTATGTACATCAGTCGCTCTAGAAACTTCATTTCTGAAATAGAAGGAATGTTTTGAAATCCTCTCTATTAACTTTGCTTTTGTTCGTGGCTGGCTGGCAAAATCTTCGGACGTGTAATTGACTCATTTCCCGTTAACATATCAAGCTAAAAATTGGCACATTGACTTGTTGCCGATGACAACACATTCTAGCGAATTTTCACGCCCCCCTCCACACTAGTCTCCCCCCCAGAGGCGTAGCGAGGTTTGACAGATGTCCCCGGGCGCAAGCTAGTTAGGGGCGCCAAAATGTGCTTTGATATTATAGTATTGGTAAAAATAATGCGTTTGAGAGTTGAAAAAAAAGAAAAAGGGGCGCTTTAAAATGGATCTTGTCCCCGGGCGCGAATCTTGTCCCCGGGCGCCAAACACCCTCCTTACGCCACTGCCCCCCCCAAAAAAAAAATTAAGTTTTTTCTGTTCTTTAAAGGGGAACGTGAAGGAAATTTGATGATACAGATATCACGAAATGAAATTCCCGATAACTGCGCTAAATTAAAGGGTTTAAAAAAAATGACAAGTTTGTTTGGTGCGTACCATTTTCTTTTGTTTTTCGGAAATAGCTGGTGAAATAAATCTACAAAGTAAAAGCGGTTGGTTCATTAGAATATTAATATTATACAGAGGCGTGGAAAAAATTTGCGTTTTGCGAGCCTGTGTGTGTGTAAAAGGGGGGGGGCATTCTTATAAAGTGCGTTACTTACATGCATGTTTTGTCAAATTTGAGCCCCATGCGCCCATTCCCGATATTCCATTTCATAAAGGATTTATTTTAACAAAAATTGTTTTAGGGGGTGTTTAAAAATGTTCAGTTTTGCTAAAACGTGCTTAATTATTTTTAAAAAAAATTGTTTTACTTTGTAGTAGAAGATATCATTAGAGGTCAGGAAGTGGTTTACACATATGACTCGAAATACGTGAGGCGCTCGTAAAGTACAAACACGTGGAAGTTCAGCGGAGACCTTTCTGTTTTATTTTTATGTTCATTGTTTGTTGTTATCGGGCAGTAACCCTGCGTAGCGAAACTCTGGAGGGAAAGCCCGGTATTGCTATAATTTTCCGTTCCTGACCTATCCGCAGAGGTCACTCGAGGATCATTGGAAGCCACTGATCACGAAGTGTTGTAGCTCAAGTGGAGAGCAGGATGTGGGTCCAAAATGATGTGAAATAGTTTACAGGGGGTCATTCAAGGGTGCGTAGAAGTCAATTGAGATCTGCTGATCAAAAAGGGTTGTATTGTCATTGGGGGTTGGTAAGTGTAGAAAGGTTTAGCTTAATTGGACTTTTGGAGTTTGGTCACAGCTGAGATGCAAGATTTGACCCAGACAAACAAACAGAGAAATTCGAAAATGACATTTTGGGTATGGGAATGGTTACCATCGAAGTTCATGTTAAACCTAATGGCCTCAAGGTATATTTCAACCAAATACGATACAAATACAAATCACTTAACGAAAGCTTCACGATTTGCACACCAAAACAAGCACCTGCTGAAAAAATTATATGTCATTAATCTACAGTTTGAGAAACAGGAAAAGCTATTTTTTTTAGGTTGGGGTATATAAGGATATGGATATAATGTGTTTTCGTTTGCAACGACTCTATGTGCACAGTTTCAGCTTTATACTGAAAGTGGGTCAAATGGCTTTCCGAAAACTTTGCCACAAAAGAACCGGGAACAAAAGCAATTTTTGGAGTTTGGGTGGGACTGAACATTTTTAAAATTGTGTTGTCATCTTTAACGAGTGTTGTCAATATAAAGGATTTAAAACGGAGAAATTACACAATTAAAACAAACGCTGTTTCGGAAAAACAAATTACCTGTTTTTATGCATTTATCTGTTGAAAAAAATATGGAAAACTGAACGTTTAAAAAAATTCACAAGGGAGGATATTTAAAATGTTTTAAAATATTTGAAGTAGCAACTTAATTCGTCAAAGGAATTTTTTTGTTAAACAACTCATTTGAATCAAAAGCTTTTAGAACCGTATAATCTGCATTTTAAAGACTTACTTGTTCTAATCAGTAGGTTGTCTTTGTTAACATCTAAATGATGCAATTAGTTTATTATCTATTTATTTATTTATTATTTTATTTCAGCTACAAAGTTTTGAAAAAATCGCGCTGACTTACCCACTACTAATGGCATCCTCACATAGTCGCCAAAGTAGTCTCGCCCATCTACATTCAACTGAAAGAAGCCGAACTTCTGACTATGTTGGAGTGATGCCACCAATGTACACACCACCAGAAATCCATCCTGTTCGACGCTCAGACATCCACACGAGTTAATGGCGTTTCGTTTCAGGGGCAGACAATCCCTATAATAGAGGTTGATCGCTGTGCCCAAAAACTTGACGGGACCATTTGAATGAGAAAATATAAGAAATCAATATTGACTATTGCGGTACATATTTTTTAAATTAAGGTTAAATCTCGGATTGACAAAGAATCACATGTTTTTTTTAGAATACCATGAATTTTTTTTTTCACAATGCTATCAAATGATGACAGCGAAAATCCTAATTTTGAAGGGAGACAAATTTGTTTTCATTAATTATAAAAAGTGTTGGACTGTGATAAAGCTTTAAAATAAATTAATTAGACACCAACAATTTGTGTCCATGTAACAATATAATTTAAGCTTTAATAATATTTATACATAATAAATAAGTGAACGTTTCGGCACATGCCTTCGGCACATTACAATAACAAACCATTTAAATAAGTATTAATAGCCCTAACCAGAATGGTATCTCAGACTTTGCATGTTACTGGTATCCTATATACTATTGACACAAGTGATAGAATCTACATGGAGAATAAATTAATAACAAGATTTGGTACGCTGTCTCCATATGTGATGAGCCAAATCAACAATTTTACCTAGCTGCCATGTCTCTTTCCTGTTTGGTTTTTACTATTTTGTTCCTTTCCACTCTCCTTTAATCTGTTTTGGTTTGGCTTTTGCGCCCACTCCTATTTTTTTAAATTATTATTTAGGTAGGATATATGTATATATATGTATATAGACTTGCCGGTCATGGAGGAGCTTGATACCCTACCCACAATAGAAGAACAACGTAGAGCCATCGATTGTCTCGCCAGTGGGAAAGCCCCGGGGTATGATGGTATCCCACCAGAAGCTCTCAAATGTGGAAAAGGAGTACTATTACGGCCCTTGCACGATCTCCTTACTCTGTGCTGGGAACAGGGACAGCTACCACAAGAGTTGAAAGATGCAAACATCGTTAAATTGTACACAAATAAAGGAGACAAGAGTGACTGCAACAACTATCGTGGAATCTCCCTCCTCAGCATAGTTGGAAAGGCTTTCGTCCGAGTTGCATTAACACGTCTACAGACCCTAGCATCGCGTGTACTCCCAGAATCGCAATGTGGTTTTCGCGCCAATAGGTCAACCATAGACATGATCTTCTCTCTGCGCCAGCTGCAGGAGATATGCAGGGAGCAACATATGCCTTAATACATTGCGTTTGTCGACCTCACTAAGGCTTTTGATCTTATCAGCAGAAGCGGCCTGTTTCAGATCCTCAAAAAGATAGGCTGCCCTACGCGACTGCTTAACATCATCAAGCAGTTCCACGAAAACATGCAGGGCACAGTGTGCTATAACTGTCCCGCCTCAGAAGCTTTTCCAGTGAGTAGTGGAGTTAAGCAAGGTTGCGTGCTGGCTCCTACTTTATTTGCAATCTTTTTCTCCATCCTACTCCAGTATGCCTTTCAGAACAACAGCGAGGGGATATACATCCACACTAGAGATGACGGAAAATTATTCAACATTGCCCGCCTTAGAGCTAAGACTAAAACAAGAAAGGTCTTGCTGCGAGAGTTCTTGTTTGCGGACGATGCCGCTTTGGAATCTCACACAGCAGACGGCCTGCAGAGCCTCGTATTCAGCCTATGCGCTGCCTGCAAAGAGTTTGGCTTGACAATTAGCCTAAAGAAAACTAACATTATGGCACAGGGCACTGACGCCCTCCCCACTATCGCCATCGACTTGGATACTGTTGACAGATTCACATATCGGGATCAAACATATCGAGCACCATCTCAATGGAGGATGAGATAAGTGGGAGGATAGGGAAGACCGCAACTATTATGGCCAGACTGAAGAAAAGAGTCAGGTCAAACGCCAAACTAACAACAAGAACTAAGCTGCAGGTGTACCAGGCCTGCGTACTGAGCACACTTCTGTATGGATCCGAGTCGTGGACCACGTATTTTAAACACGAAAGAAGGCTCAATGGCTTCCACCTCAGATGCCTGCGCCACATTCTTGACATTAAATGGCAAGACAAAGTCTCTAACACGGATGTCCTTTCCCAAACAAACATGTGTAGCGTCCCAGCCATGTTAATCCAAAGACGCCTCCGCTGGCCTGGACACGTCAAGCGGATGCAACCTGGTCGCATACCAAAGGACGTGCTATACAGCGAGCTGGCGACAGGGAAAAGGTCAGTTGGACGGCCTCGTCTGAGATACTTAGACATATGCAAAAGAGACATGAAGTCCTCTAACATCGACATCTTAAACTGGGAGGAGTTGGCAGAGGATTGACTCTCATGGCGGGGCATCGTGAAGGCAGGATCACTACGTGCCGAGGAGCAAAACAGGGCGGAAACAGCTGCAAAAAGAGCGAGGAGGAAGGCCGGTAAATACTGCTCCCCCACATTCGTGTGTGGGAAATGTAACAGAGACTGTCATTCGAGGATTGGTCTCACCAGCCACACCAAGAGCTGCAAGCAATAAAGATAATCTATCGTCTCCCGCAGACGGAAAGATGCCTTACATATATATATATATATATATAAATATATATATATATATATATATATATATATATATATATATATATATATGTATATATATATATATTATGTAAATTTAATTTATACTTATTTAAATGTTTTGTTATTGTACTGATGAAGGCATGTGCCGAAACGCTTACTTATGTATTATGTAAAACTATTATTAAAGTTTAAATTATATTGTTACATTGGCACAAATGGTTGGAACACCTCTAAAACTTTTAAGCGACATCCATCTTATGTGTTGTAGTTCATGGGTGTGCTTTTTTGTGGGCAAGGATCGTCAGTTTTCGTAAATTCTGCGTCGAGAGTCCTCGAAATGTAAATATATTTCAGTGCAACCCGTTTGAGAGCTGTATGTGTTTTGGAGCATTGAACCCCAACGCCTGCTGATCAATGTTCATCATTTCTTTTGCTCATACACCTTCTGACCTGACATATATTTTCCCATATTCATATAGATTTCATCCTTTTTTTCCTCAGAAGCCGGTACTCTGCGCGTGTTATAGTTATGTAATGCTTTTCTATATCGGGCATGTGTGGAATTTTCATATCAGGCCGGTGTTGCATTTTCCAGAGGCTGCCTTAAAGCGATTTACTTAGTGCAGCTCCTCGTCAGGGGGGACACACTGCCTTGCGATCACCTTCTGTACAAGTATTGTTTCCCGAACAATGTTCTTTTTTTGGAGAATAACCGCGACGACTTTAATACGATCCTCTACAATTTAAAGCTCATTGTTTGGTGCTTCATCCTGAGATAGGATGACGGCAGAACGCAAAATTAAAGGAGTATCGCCATAAATGCTATCAAACGGCAATATCTTTGCTCTTAAGTCAACTTGGTTGTTCGAAATTCGAGAGAGGTTCTTTAACTAATTTTTTTGTTACAACACTACACATGGGGTTGATTTAACTACGTTGTTATAGTACTACATAGGGTCAAAATGTAAATATACTGTAACAACACTTTAGGCGGTCTCTCATAAACTATGCTGTTACAACATCAAGGAGGGTCTTATAGTCATTATGCTGTAACAGCTCTACAAACGGCCTTACGGTAATTTATTGTCGAACAAAATTGTGGATTGTCTTGCAGTAACAATGGTGTTACAAAGTTACAGATGGTATAGCACAATTATGTTACCACAGAAGTATAAAGGTTCCTATATTCACAACAATGTTGCAAACATTATATGGGCTCTTACAGTAAATGTTCTGCTTTCGTTCCATAATGCCACTCCAAAGCTAACAAAGACGGTGCTCTTGGTGGAAATGTCGTCGAGGTTGACCTTGCCCGTCATGTTGAAATGGTCAACACCGTCCACGAGATCCCTCTTACACGAGTATCTGGCATGTGAAGGGTCAAAGGGGTACGTGACGGTGCGTTTTTCCTGACCATTAATACAGAGAGAAAATGGACCTGGTTTTGGGGGGGGGGGGATATTATCAGTGCTTCTTTTTTGTGTGTGTTAGGAGCAAGGTGGTTAATAAAACTTTGAAATGCTAATATCAATATGTGTACAACGCACTCGAAGCGAGAATGCATTTGTGTTGAGGACGTGAAGAATTTTGTTAAAGACTTAAATGACTTTTATTGTCGTTTTGACAGCCTGGACTTTCGAAGAGTACACGGTGAGATGATGAATTCATTTCAGGATGGCAGAAGAACACAGGATGGTACTTTATTGTTTACCGAACAGAGTGTGATGGCATTATTTAAACAAGTGGACGCAGCCAAGGCCTCAGGACCAGACAAATTAAGTGATTGGCTCATTAAACTATGTTCAGAGCAGCTCTCCTACATTTATTGTTACTTATTTAATACACCTTATTTAACTGACACGATAGCAACAATTTGGAAAACTTCAGAAATCATACCAATTCCGAAGAAAATTACGACCTGTTGCACTTACCTCTATTGTCATGAAATGTTTTAAGAAAATAATTCTGAAAGAAATTTTGAATGAAGTACAGCAAAAACTTGACCCCCACCAATTTGCTTACCAGCCTGCCAGAAATGCGGAGAATACAATCTTATTATTGTTGGAGAGAGTTTACCCTCAGCTAGACAGTCCTAGAACATATGTCAGAGTGCTTTTCTTAGACTTCTCATCAGCATTTAACACCATCCAACCACACCATCCAACCACACCATCCAACCACACCATCCAACCACACCTTATGATAAAGAAACTTTCCTCGTTAGGTGTCAATTGAAATATTCAGGCTTGGATACTCAACTTTTTAACAAATCGACCACAATATGTCAAAGTGAATAACCAATTATTTCTAACCAGAGAAATAAGCACCGGGGCACCACAAGACTGTGTTCTCTCTCCTGTACTGTATACAATGTATACCAATGATATTTAAAGCTCAAGCAACACCGTTCCATTCTTAAAATTTGCTGATGATATCACCATTGTTGGCTTAATATCTGAAGGAGAAGGCCTATACCGCAACAGAGTTACAAGTTTTTATATATTGGTGCGATGAAAATTTTCTCCAGTTGAATGTCTCAAAAACAAAGGAAATGGTTACTGATTTGAAGAGGGGGAAACACCAGATTACAGATCTCGACATAAAAAAATCAAAGTTTAGAGAAAGTGAGGCATACAAGGACTTAAATGTCACCATTAATAACAAGCTAACATGGCATGAGCACGGCCAAATGCTGTATACGAAATTCAACCAAAGAATTTTCTACCTCAAAAAACTGTTCAATTTTGGCGTAAACAAACCAACCGTTAATTTATTCTACAGTGCAAAAATTGGAAGCCTACTTAATTTCAGTATTACCTGCTGGTGTGGGAATTCAACGTCTGATATTAAACAACGCATAAACCAAATAATCCAGAAAGCTAGCAAAATAAAACAAACTAAACATTCTTCACTTGAAGAACTATTTGAAGAATGATGTTATAGCAAAACTAAACACATTTTGGATGATACATCGCACCCTCTTCATCAGAGATGCATAGAATCGGGCCGTTCGGGACGAATTCTTTCCATCAGGGCGAGGACTGACAGAAATAACAATTCTTTTGTTCCCCAATCTGTATGAATTTACCAGCGTGCTCCCCCTGAAGTCACACATCTTCATGAGAACTAAAAAGTCCCCGAGTTGGCTAAGAGAACTCACCGAATGGCTGTTTGAAATAATTTATTATGAATGTCTTGTGTAAAAAAGATACATTATTGAACGATTTGAATTGATTTTTAAAATCAAATCATATGAAAAATAAATTAATGTTTATATATTTATGCAACCTGGTGTTCGAAATGTGAAGAAAAACGAGTTTAAAAAAAGCACACGTACCTGGTGGCTCCTCACAGCGAACTGATTGACATATCGGTCATTGGAAAGAAGAAAAAAAAATTACGTCTGTTGCAGCATGACACAAAACTAAACAAATAAATGTATGCACCTCGGCACTCTGCTCGTTATAACTTTGTGAGCTATCCCTAAAGATACTTTTGATGGATAAATGAATGGGGAAAGAGATGAAGATTTAATTGATTTAATATCTGTACAGCTGTTTACATGGGGGTCGTTTCAACTTGAGCTCTCCCTTATCCAAATAACTCAAAACTGAAACATTCAATTAAATAATACTTGACTTAGAAAATTGATGTAAACAAAAATAAATCCTGCTCACACAGGATTCTCAAAGGATGAATACAGAAAACCACCGCTAAAATATGTGTTACGATATCGCCGCGTTCATCCTGTACATAAGTATCTATATTAAATGACCACTGTAAGGGTATAGTGAATTCATCGCATATTTTAACAACCAATAAAGAATTTCTATAACATTCGAGTCTTCTATGCAGGGCTTACCGGATATTTACAGAAGCGATACCAAATCGGTTTTAAAAATCGCGTAAATGTATAGCTGTGCTTACAGTGTGTTGGGAGGTTTGATAATGAATCGCTGTAATTTTATAGCTGTGCTTAGAGAGTGTTGGGAGGTTTGATAATCTGTAATTGTATAGCTGTGCTTAGAGTGTGTTGGGAGGTTTGATAATGAATCGCTGTAATTGTATAGCTGTGCTTAGAGTGTTTTGAGAGGTTTGATAATGAATCGCTGTAATTGTATAGCTGTGCTTACAGTGTGTTGGGAGGTTTGATAATGAATCACTGTAATAATAGGTGTTGTTGTAGTTCATGTAAAAATACAGTTTCTCTGACATCTTGCAGGAAGCCGTCAAGTTGCAAGCGAAGTGTAGTTCTTTAATGTCCAGATATGTGCAGGCGCAGGTATCCATCTCCACTTCAGGAGGTTGTGGGCAAGTTGAGCTTTCTATTTGTGTAGCAAGACTCTGAAAAATGAGGGACACATGATTTGATTGAACAAAATTAAAAACGGATTCCTCGTAGAAACTTGAAACGTTTCGGAAGTTGAAAACGTGTGTTTAATCAAAACCATTCAATTCAACCTCATTTTCAATAGTGTTCCAGAGTTCTACAATATTTTATAAGCCAATAATAATAATGCAAATTCTAGGAGCGCATGTATTGCAAACATTGAATGAGCTCTTAAAAATAACATAAGAAACGCCAATTTATAGAACAATAATTTTAAGACTTACAGTCTGAAGACCTACACTTTGAAGATCTACACTTTGAAGACCTACAATTTGAAAAACTATACATACTATTTAAAGACCTACAATGTAAAGACCTACAATTTGATGATCTACAATTTGAAGATCTTCAATTTGAAAAACCTACAATTTGCAGAAGTATAATTTTATGATCTACAGTTTGAAGACCATTAATTTGAAGACCTGCAATTTGAAGCCCAACAATTTCAAGGCCAGAATTTTTGACACCTACAATTTGAATACCTATAATTTGAAGACCTATACATTGAAGACCTACAATTTGAAGACCTAAACCTTTTACGACCAACAATTCGAAGATCTACAATTTGAAAAACTACAATTGTAAGACCAACAATTTGAAGACCTAGACCTATAATTTAAAATCCTACAATTGGAAACAATTTGAAGAACTTACTATATATGCATCGTGTAATGATAACAATCCGAAAGTTGCATTGACGGATGAGTTGAATCCGGATATAATGAGATTCCCTGACAACGCCAGGCGATCAACGCCCTGAACCATACCAACCAATGTGTGACAAGAGAAGGGGCTGTAGTCTCTGAAGTAACCTCTTAAAGCGATCTTTATGTTTGCTTCGTCCTGACTGGCTAACCTGTGAACTGTGAAAAATGTACATATGATTTACAGCACAGTTAATATACAATGAATAGAGGACACTTTTCCCTTTATCATGACAAGACTTCTTTAATTAGAAGTTCACTCAAAACAGAAATAAGTAGTGATTGTCACTGACGCTGGCAGAAATATCCATTAAATGACGTCATACTAGACTCAAAGCTTTAAAATACTACAACACCACCGAACTTGTTAGACCAACCAGTCATTGAAGAAATATGATGAGCTATAGAAACTTAACATTCTACCCCTTGGCGATGAAGATTGGTGGAGATTGTGGCAATTTGATTTTATCTTGGATCGTAACAGTTTTTTGGTGAATGAAGCGTTGGGATGGACTAGGTAACCTGGCAGGCAAGCTTCGTGGATAGGACGGTTAATCCGTAGGAGATAAGACGTCTTAAAACACAAAAGTCAGAATGTTGCAACGAAACATGGCGTGGGATTCAAAATAGCCGGTCTGTGCCGAGGATCTCCATACTTTCCGAGTCTTGGAGCCTTGCTGCGTCTTGGTTTCCCAAGCGAAGGTTTCAAATGTTTTCTAAGAAAAGCCAATGTTTATATATTTTTTTTATGTTTCACTTCTTTGCGCTCCTTGAACAAACTGTGGTGGACAACTTGAGCAGCTTCGAAAAATTTTTAGTAATTAATTCAGGGTTGCCAAATAGCTGTTGAACGAAATTCTTAATTCTAACCGATGAAGAAAAATTAAAACATTTTCAAGTAATCTTCAACAGATATCGGTGGGGTTTTTTTATGATTAATATAGTAAAACTCGAACCACTTCTGTTACAAGAGGAAGGTTTGTTGTCATTTATAAAAATACATTTTAAAACGTTTTTTATGATATATTTTTGAAACAAACTTACTTGTTAACAGCGATAAAAGTATTAGCAGTTTAACAGATGGCATTGTGGGTAGAACTCGTGGACAACCAATAAAACGTCTGTCCGGAGTTATCTGTACAAAAATAACCTATTGAAGAAAGACAAAACAGATACATTCACAACGTTAGCCAATGCAACTCAGTTTTAATAACGCTGAGGAAATCTTTCTTTAATGGATGTGTTCATCTCAATGATTGTATCTTGAAACAAATTTATGTTATTGCAAGATACACTTTATTTATAAAAACAATAAATAACTTTGTGATTTTAAATGCGTTTTCTCCATA